CCATCAATTGGGGAATGACTGAACAATTTGTGGTACGTGGTTATGATGGAATACCATTGTACTATAAGAAATGAGAGCAGGATACTCTCAGAAAAACTTGGAAAGACTTGAATGGGCTGATGCAAAGTGAAATGTACCGTATACAAAGTAAGAGCAATTTTGTAAAATGATCAGCTTTGAATGACTTAGCAATTCTCAGCAATACAACGATCCGAGACAACTCTGAAGGACTTGGGATGAAGAATGCTATCCATCCCCAGAGAAAGAACTGCTGGTTTCCGAAGACGGATTGAAGCATACATGTGTAATTTCCCTCTATCATAGGCTTTCCTTGATTTCGGCCTGTTCTGGTTTTATGCTGTCAGCATCTCAGGCTACTCAGATGATCCCTGTGATCTGGTTCCTCCCTTTCTGCCCTTCAGCTGCTGTACTCCTTATCAGTTCCTGAGTATTCCCTGGGCTTTAATCTATCTTGAAGTGTCCGCTTAAGACTGACGTCCTCCATTTTTATTGTTGTCATTGTATTGGTTTTTACCATCCTGGTCCTCTCCTCTAGACTCTTAATTAACTGACAACAAAAGAAACACATTCAGAAACCCAGGTTTGGGGCATCCTACCTCTTGCAGCATCTGAGTGTTAATGCTTTGATTTGGCTTCCTGTCCACAGGATAGAGTGAGTCAAATTTCTGGCCTCCACAGATGAAGCATGTTCATAAAGGTCTGGTGCTCTGATGATAGAAGGATGGTTTGAGCAGGGTTAGGTGGTGGAAGGCTTGGGTATTTATTGTTTCTGGCTCCTTTACAATCCATCTTTTTGTGACTCCCAGAAATTTTAAGTCATCTCTCTGTGCCCTGATTTCTCCTTTTTTCTATAATGGAATTGGTAGTGGTTTGTTGGTACCCCTTTGGGGACAGTAGAATAAGCATTTATATGGCACCCATTATGTGCTGGATATGCTAAGCACTTTACAAATACTATCTCATTTAATCCTCACAACAACCCTGCAAAGGTGCTGTTATCCCCATTTTACAGGTGAGGAAACTGAGGCAGAGGTTAAGTGACTTGCCCAGGGTCACACAGCTAGTAAGTGTCTGAGGCTGCATTTGAACTCCAGTCCTCCAGACTCTGGATCCAGAGCTCTGTCTACTGCTAACTGCCTCAGTAGATAATATTTACACAGTAGACAATTTAATTAAAGAAAAAAAAAGTTGATGAGATTTGTTAGTTGGCACTCTTGGTAAAAAAAAAAATCAGAATTCTTTCACTCTTCAGAACGGCCTCTCCTATCTTAGAAGGCATCTGGGATGCCCTGGGCAGGGATTCTTAGCCCAAGCCCCATATCACATTCATTTCGAGGGTATGTGGGGTTGGCGCGGCCGCTGCAGTGGTGAGCATGAGACCAGCTCAATGCTCATAACCCGGAGACACATTGATGGGGCGGGGCGGGAGACAGCAAGATGGCAGAAGCTCTGTTTATTAAGTGCTAGTAGCTTTCTTTTGTATCCCTAGTGACACCTGATCAAAGCATGATCTCCATGTGATAGCCAATCACCAAGTCTGCTGGACACCTGCAGCCCTCATGTCAGGGGTACGAGTAGGACTTTTCTCCCAATGAGAGGAGAGCCGAGCCAACCGTGGGAGCTGCGTGTCAGCAAAGGAGAGGTCTTGTGAGACTTCCTTGTTTTTGCCATGCAACAGGTTGTGACCCTCAGCTTCTGCTGAGAGAAGCTAGAACTCCCATGAGAAAATTACCCTGACATGGGGTGTTGTGTGTATGTGGAGGGAGGTTGTTTGAGAGAATGAAGGGGAAGGGGACGAGCTGGAAAAGTCTCAGAAGTGGCATCTCACCCCTGAAAATTTACTTGTGGTTGGGACTTTCAGAAATGTGTCCAGCCTGCCTTGTGTTGGTAGTGATGGGTCTGCCTAGGCAAGCCAGGCATATCCCTGTTGACCACTGGGCTCATCCAGTCTGCCTGCCCATCAGTCATTCATCAAGTGTTTTTTAAGCACCTTTTATTCACCTGGCCCATTACCTGGCCAATAATAGGCACTTACATAGGGATGGGTTACAAAGCCAAGAGTGAGATAAATCCCTTTCCCTCACGGAACTTAACTCCTACTGTGCCCATTGGAATTTGTGTTCTGTTGTTAACAGATGCCCTTTGTATATCTTATATTCCTTTTAGCTCTATTTGATTAAAGGCTGCTGTTTTTTGTTTTTTGGCGAGGCAGTTGGGGTTGAGTGACTTCCCCAGGGTCACACAGCTAGTGTCAACTATCTGCTCTGAGACCAGATTTGAACTCAGGTCCTCTTGACTCTATCTACTGGGCCACCTAGCTGCCCCAGACTGCCTTTTTCTTTGAGAGCTCTACATCCCTGACCACTTTGTCCAGCACTGGCCTCGCGTTGCCATACTTTCCCAGTGTTATTCCCAATCTCTATTTCTGCAATACCTTTCCCTCCTTTAAAGTTTATCATTCTCATAAATCACAATATTCATATCCTTTTTTTTTTTTTTTTGAGGCTTTTGGGGTTGACTGAGTTGCCCAGGATCACACGACTACTAAGTATCAAGTGTCTGAGGCCAGATTTGAACTTGGGTCCTCCTGAACCCGAGGGCTGGTACTCTATCCGCTGCGCCACCTAGCTGCCTCCAAAGTAATTTTTTCCAAAGGCCTTCTTCATGCCGCTCCTGTTCGTCAGCGCTAACGCTCTGTTGTCTGGCAAAGGAAATCAATCCTATCATCTGGCATGTGTGAGGTTACGATCATAGAACTGTAGCCAGAGTGACCTCAGAGCCCTTCTGATCTAATCTCTTCATTTTAAATGTGAAGAAACAGGCCTAGAGAGTGACTTGCCCAAGGTTTTGAGCGCCAGATTTTTAAAATTTTATTTTTAGTTTTCAGCATTCACTTTGATAAGATTTTGAATCCTAAATTTTCCCCCTCCCCAAGACAGCATGCAATCTGATACAGGCTGTACATGTACAATCATATTAAACATATTTCCTGTGGAGAAAGAAGAATCAGAGCAGAAGGGGGAAACTACGAGAAAGAAAAAACAACATCAAAGAAAATAGTACACTTCGATCTGCCTTCAGACTGCGTAGTTCTTTCTCTGGATGTGGGCACATCTTCCATCATGAGGCTTTTGGAATTGTCTTAGAACATTTAAGCACGAGATTTAAAATGGTGGGTGGAAAGGGAGCAGGAGGGGAAACGGACGAGAGGCTGATGAAGAATTAGAGAGGAATGCAGCCACGTGGAAATAAAGAGATGCCTGTCCTGAGCACCCTTGTTAAAGTCAGAGGGAGGGGACCCAGGGACACCGAGAAATTCTTGAGGTGCCAGTTACAGGGCTGACATGATCTTTGGGATAAAAAGATTTCTGGGCCGTGATGGAGAAGTCCAGAAAAGTCAGGTAGTCCAGACTCATGGTAAATCTATTGAAAAAGCAGTTCTTATTTTGGTGCAGTTGGACTAGACTGTTTCAGAACTCCCCTTCACCTGGGCCCCCATGCCTGCTGCAGTGAGCTTTGACCTCCATTTATCTGGTAGCTCCTCCCCCTGACTTGGGTACAGTTTCCTGTCTTCCTTCCTAACTCTGCTCTTTGCCTCACCTTGAAGCGATCCTTCCCTCCTCCGCTTCCTCCCAGCACCTTGGCTAGATTTCTGTGCACTTTTCAAATTTTGCTTTGCATTTCAATTGTGTATTCATATCAGAGGTGCTAGGTTGCTTAAGAGCAATGACTAGGTCTCATTTGTGGAATTTTATCAGCATATATCCAGCCGCATTTTAGAGTAGGTGCGGTGCTCCCATAAAGCTAATTAACCTTCCATGGGTGAGTGGTTGCTTTCACTGGGGTCAGGGTTTTTTGTAGTTTTAACTTGCATTGAGCTTCCCTTCTGGAAGCCATGTTGTCCATCCTATTGGAAGGTCATGCTTACAGTTCACTTTCAGTAGTGCTATCTGTGTAAACCTCAAAATTTCTGGGCAAAAATCCATCTTTTGACCTATACTGTCACATATATGTCCTGTTCTGTTTGGTGTACTCAATTGGCCAAACAACTAACTCTTTCTTCCTGTTCGTTTGCTTCCCCACAAAACTGCTGCTTAATTGGCTGCTGATGAATCATTAAGACCTTGGTCTCTATCCTTGCCTTTGTGATTTGCCTTTAATAGCTGCTATATGGATTGGTAAAACAGCTGCCACAGTTGATAAGTCTGGCTCCAGCTGCCCACATTATTTTCTTCTCTCATCAAAGATGGACATAACTCAAATAATAGACTACTTTCCAAGTTTAAATATGAGAAGCAGTGGCTCCTAGCTTTGTCCCCTCAGATTCACCAAGCTGCCAATCTTTTGTTCTGATTTTAATTTACCTTACTGGAGTCTCTTCTCTCCCCGCCCCCCACCCCCACCCCCCCAACTCTTTCAGGTAATAATAGTTTACTTTATTGCTGGCAATCTCCCAACCACTTCATTAGACAAGAAGTAAAAATGGTTGTTCTCATTATTTATAAATGAGTAATTGTAGTGAGATCCAGAGAAGTTAAAAAACTTGCCTGTGGCCACAGATCAGCATTACCATCTGAAAAGGACTAGCTGCCCCCATACCTTCTGCAATTCAGCCAAGTCTCTAACGTTGACCTGGTGGAGGGTGGCCCATGGATTGTAGGAGTCCATGCCCCTCTGTACCTCATTGTGCCTTCTATTCTGCTGTTTTCTTAACGACAGTTTCTGTTGTTGGGTGGAGTAGGTAGAGCAAGGAGATTCCTAGTTCTTACCAACTTGCCATTACACTAAATCTTATTTACTGTCTTGGGAAGGAGCAGTATTGATTTCATCCAAGTATTGCTCTTGCTGACATTACTTTGCTTAGCAAAAACAATTGGTTAGACTTTGCCTGCCTATGCTTAGCCTTTAGCTTGGCCAAATGATTTTTGAGAGAACTTACTTTCTTTTCCCCTTGTTTTTGTGTTTTCTCATTAATGCAGCTTGTGAGAAAAGATTCCCATCTCCCAGAAAACAGACGTGCAGGCATTAGCAAGCCAAAGGAATCACTCATTGCTTCTAAGAGTGGAGCACACAGGTAAGCATATGCTAGATAAAACTGATTCTAAGTCATTGGTGGCTCCAGTGAAAGAGCACGCAAAATTCACGTGGGCCCTAATGTAGTGTTCTTCTAATGGAGATGAAGTTACAGTCTAATGCAAAGAACATGGGACTGAGAATTGAAGAACCTTTACCACAAGTGTGATCTTCAAGAATTCACTTCCTCTTTATGGGCCTTGATGTCTTCCCCATCTATTAAGGAGAGGGGAGAGAAGGAATAAAGGGAGGGAGAGTTGGACTAAATTACCTCCAAGGTGCCTTTTAACTTTAAAATTCTTTAATCCTGAGAAAGACTTTATGAGTCCTTAAAACTTTAAGTCTTCATAGTACAAGAGAACTCAGTTTCTGACACTATTATTAAATGGGTTATTAAAAGTGGTTTATGAGCACTTTAGAAAATGTTCGTTTTGAGCCAGCAAGGGGTTCACTAAAGAGAAAGTAAGATTACAATATTCTCATTTCCCTAATTTATGGCATTTTTAAACTCATTGAAGGGAACACTACTGACCTAGTATATCTGTAACAGAGTCCCATGATACTGTTGTGAAGTGGGTAGGGAGAAGAGATCTGAGTAGTAACAGACTTAATTGAATTGGTAACCAATCAGGGACCAGCAGATCAGTAATGTCAACCCAGAATAACATCTTGAGTGGTTTGCTGTTGGACTCTGGGATGGCCCTCTTCTGTTCCTGTTCAACACTTATCTACATTGTGCTTTTAAATGACATATAAAGAATGAAAAGATTTATAAATCAAATTCTTACATGGCATGAATCTGAGAATGATGACTCATAGATTGGATGAAGTCCTTGATTTTATTTACTGATTAGAGGAAGACTCATGGGAATATCTTGACCAAGAGTGTGGGCCCTGTGAAAGTCAGGTCCCACTTAAAAGTATTGTGTTCCCTTTTGAGTACCTTTTTAAAAGGGACATTGACAACCAGAGCATGTCCAGAGAAGACCAGCTAAGGACAATAAGAGCGTGTGTACGTGAAGAATCCTTGAAATTCTTAGAGAGGATGACTTAGGGTGAACATGACTGTTGTATTTAAATCTTTGAAAGGCTTTCATGTGGAAGTCAGTTTACTAAACACTTACTGCGTGCCTTCTAAGGCTCTGGCCTACAAAGATGAAACAGGTTCTGCCTTCATGGAGCAGGATTCTGTTCTCCTGGGGTGGAAATAATTTCCAGAAGGGGAGAGCACAACAGCTTCAGGCTATAGGAGAGGCTTCATTTAAGAGGTGGTACCTTCAAGCAAGTGAGGCAGGGATGAGATGGAAATGTGGCCCAGGCCTGGGGGCTGGCTAGCATATCCAGAAGCACAGAAGGGAGTGATGGGAAGCCACGGTCAAGCTCTTCACCTGAGCTTCTGACCAGTTTGGCTTGAACCCTGTGTGTCATGGTTTGAAATAGGGCAGAAAGGCAGAAAGGAACAAGAGGTAGAGGGGCTTTAAGCCGTTAGGCTCAGGAGTTGGTAATTTTTCTTTGAAGCAGAGGAGAGCCCCTGAAAACTTTTGAGCAGGGTGAGTGACATGTTCCAGGTTGGGGTCAGATGTGTTCCCAGGAATTTTAATTTGGCAGTCATGAAGAGGATGGATTGGAGTGTTGTGAAACCACAATTGGGCAGAGCTTTTAGTTGATTGTGAAAATAATCCGGGGGAAAGATGATTAGAATCTGAATTAGGGTTGTGGTTCTAACAGAGAAGAGAGTGGATGAGATACTGTTAAGGCTGACCCAACAAACCTTGGCAGATGATTTGTGTGAGGGATAGTGAAGCCTCATGGATGACAGATCTGGAGCACTAGAAGAATGCTGGTATCCTCCAGTGCTTGGCACATGATAAATATTTATTGAATTGAAGAATAGGTAGGTTTGGAGGAGGGTAATTAATGGGTTTTAGGGGAAATAAAATTCTGTTTGGGACATACTGAGTTTGATCATGTCAACAAGACATCTAATTGGAGAAGTCCAGTGGGAAACTGATATAGGGCTGGAGTTGAGGAGAGATTAGAACAGGATACATACATTTGGAAGTCGTTTGTACATAGGTAGTAATTGAATCCATGAGAGCTGGTGAAATATCAAAGAGAGAGTATGTGTAAAGGACAGGGGCAGAGGAAGATTTAGAATGGTAAACAAGTGTTGATGAATTGACTAGGGGGTGGTACTAACAGGGCTAGGAAAGAGTGTGTGGGGAGAACATAGGAGGGAGGAAGAGTTTTTATCTCTGCAGACTGGGAGCTGAGAGTTTGCCCACCATAAATAGGGGAAGCACCAGTGGACAGGGCTTCCATATCACCGGGTTCTGTAATGACTGAGCCCAGAATCAGTATCACACAGCTGGGTAAGCTTCCCAGGCTGGTCACTTCCTATACAGAGGAGCCTACAGGTAGAGGTAAAATATTCTCCAGGTACCTGGGTCAGGGAATAATTGGTTCGAACAACTCATGGTTGGAAGAGAAACAAGCTCTATTTTTTGGCCTGTCTGGCCCTGGAGCAAAAAGTGTTGACATCGATGGGTTATAGAAACAAGGGCATGATTTTGGCTTAATTATAAGGAAGTGCTTGTCATCTGGGAAGGGAATGGACTGCTGCCTTTTCACAAGTAGGGTAGAACAGATGGGCACCTCTTGGGATGCTTAGGGAAGCTTCAAGCTTCAGGTAGATCCATTCACACCAAAGCTTGGGCTTCTCTTCCTCTACTCCTTTCTTGGGTGATGACTACTGGAGTCTCAGGTCTGTGCCATTTAAATATGCAGTCTCTGTAAAGGGGCTTCTCCTTAGGGCCACTGAAATACTGGACTCTATCCAAAGAGATGGGCACTAGGACCCCAGGGCTGCTCAGAGGTTCTGCCCAGGAACACAGACAACAGGCTTCTTCCTGGCTCTAGAAAGCACTGTTCTCCATGCACGCAGTCATGCTGTTCACAGAATTAGTTCTGAGGGTTGTTCACAGTTGTTCAGTACCCATCCTCCATCCTCACTCTCCTGCTATAGTGAGAACTGGGGATGGCAGGTGTTTGCACCCAGAGACCTACTTTCCCTCATACATATTCACTCCCTAGTTTGCAGCTCCCACTCTGAGGGCATGGGTACCTGGCCACTGACTTAAGCTGCCTTCTGCTCTCCTGTTCAAGAAATGCCCCTTGCCCTCTCATAGACACACCCAGGGACTGGAACTCTTTTCACTATCCCACCAATTCCTGGACATGGTGTCATCTTGCCAGTTTTTTTATAGTCCTACTGTTTAATCTGCATCAGGATGTAGCTTTGTTTCTATATCTGTTTAATCTCATAAATACAAATGTATTTGTAAATCACAATAATGATTAATTATTGATTATTAATAATTAAATATTAATTAACTTCCTTTCATCAGGTTGCCAGTCAAATAGCATTTATTAAGGGTTTAATATGTACTAGGAATTGTGCTTAATGCCAGGAATACAGAAACAGCCTCTGTCCCCAGGAAGCTCACATTCAGATGGGGGAGGCAACTTGAAAACAACCCTGGACACACAAGATGTGTGTGGGAGTGTGTGGTCTACATGGGAGGGCATTATCTAGCAGTGGAGGGACCCGGAAAGGCATCTTGCCATGGAAGGTTGACTCTGAGCTAAGTTTTGAAGGAAACTAGTGGGGCAGAGGTGAGGAGGGCTAGAATTCCAGAAGAGTGTTCTTTGTAAGGACATAGCCAGTTAGGTCTGGGTAGCTAGATAGTGGCCTAGGTGGAGGGGTGGGGGGGTAGGGAAGGAACGAAACTTGGAATGTTGTAAAGGCCTTTAAAAGCCTTAAGGAGGGTGCTACATTTTAATCCAGTGGAGGGAGCAAGTGAAGTTTATTAAGAGTGAGGGGGTTGGAAGAGGGTCTGGTCTTTAGGAAAATCAGCTGAGTGGAGGGTGGACTGGACTTGAGAGAGGCTTGAGGTGGGGAGTCCAACTAAATGGCTACTGTATTAATCCCCAAGAGTGAGGTGATTAGGGCCTACACCAGGTTGGCAGTTGTATGGAAGATCCAAAAGGTACCTAGGAGGAGGGAGGGATGTCTTGTAGGCAGAAATGATAAGCTTGGCCACAGTGACTTCCCTGGGCTAGGGAGCAGCAACCTTGTCAGGTTCAAAGTCTCTGGGATAGGTTAACCTTGGCTGATGACTTATTTCTAGAGGAGAAGCGCCCTTGCTCTGTACTTGCCACTGAGCTATATCCTTTCTGTCCTGGTGTCTGCAGCAGACGTCTCAAATGCCTTTAACCAGGAGAACCGTGGCCCAGAACTTGCTCTGCTGTCTGCACAGAGTAACAGGTGGCAGAAATAGATTATTTTTGCCTCTACTGCTGGGCACTCTTCACATCAAGCCCATATCTTGGAAATGGCAGGCTGAGGGCAGCCATCAAAGTTTGGGAGCCTGTGGTGTTATTGTAATGTGTTTGTTTGTGTGTTTGTTTTACACAATTCATGTGCTGGTCACTCCATGAGGCATTTGTTGTTGTTGTTGGGAAAGCAAGGTAAATGGGGCCAAGCCTGATTTGAGAGAGCAGAAAACCTGAATAAGGAATGATAGCACTTAGCACAGAGTCTGGCACAGAGAACATACTTAATAAATGTTTGACTGACTCACTCACTCATCTACTGCTGTCCAGTGGGAACATGCAGAGATATAGGAGCATACTGAGGATTCCTGTCAAAGGCGTTATGGTTTCAAGATGCTGTAGACCTAGTATCTAGGTGGCACAGTGGATAGAGCTCTAGGCCTGACCTTAGAAAGACCTGAGTACAAATCCGGCCTCAGACACTTCTAGCTGCTTGACCCTGCACAAGTCACTTAACTCCGTTTTCCTCAGTTTCCTCATCTGTCAAATGAGCTAGAGTAGGAAATGGCAAACCACTGCATATCTTTGCCAAGAAAAGTTGGACACAACTGAAATGACTGAACAACAACAAAAATAATACATACTAGATGCCCAATACATTCTTATATTAAGCACCTACTATGTTCCAGGCACTATGCTAAGGGTTGAGGATACAAAGAAAGGCAAAAGGTAATCCCTGTTCATAGTCTTGAGTGGCGGAGAAAACATGCAACTAGGTACAGACAAGCTATAGACAGAATAAACTGGAAATAATCAATAGAGGGGAAAGCATTAGAATTAGGAGGGATCAGGAAAGGCTCCCTGTGGAAGTTGGGATTTGGGCAGGGACTTGAAGGAAGCCAGGAGGCAGGGATGGGGAGGGAGAGAATTCCAGGCATGGAGGACAGCCAGTAAACATGCCCATAGTTGGAAGATGGCATGTCTTCTCTTGTTTGAGGAGCAGCAAGGAGGCCAATGTCATGGGATCACAGGGTATGTGGAGGGGATCAGTCTCATAGAGCAGGGATGTCAGACTCGCTGCAGGTGGCCCGCAGAACTCCCAAGTGCATGCAGCCCAAGCCCCATTAAGCTGTAATTAAATTGTAAACTGAAATGTTTAACAAAGTAGGTGAAAACACAATACAACTAATCTGTGGTTTTCTGAGTCAGTATACCAGCATCGGGGGAATCTGTTTCTATTTGAGTTTGACACTGCTGCATAGAGTGTATGAAATAGAAGATGTAAGAAGATTGGAAAGCTGGGGGAAGGGGCAGGTTGGAAGGGCTTTAAATGACAAATAGAGTATTTTATATTTGATTCTGAAGATGATAAGAAGCCACTGGAGTTTATGGGGATGGGGTGTGACACAATCAGACCTTCAGGTCTTTAGAAAGATCACTGTGACAGCCGAGTGAAGGGTGAATGGGAGCGGGAAGAGATAAGTCACCTCCGACTCTTTGTGACCCCATTCAGGGTTTTCTTGGCAAAGATACTGGAGTGGTTCGCAATTTCCTTCTCTAGCTCATTTTACAGATGAGGAAACTGAGGCAAACAGGGCTTAGTGACTTGCCCGGGGTCACAGAGCTAGTGAGCGTCTAATGCCGGATTTGAACTCAGGAAGATGAGTCTTCCTGACTCCAGGCCTGGCACTCTATCCACTGCATCACCTAGCTGCCGCTAGCTGTCAGAGGATAGAAGGGGGCTTATATGAGAGATATTAACAAAGGTAAAAATCAAGGTCTTGGCAAAAGATTGAATATGGGGTGGGGGGAGTGTGCATGAGAGAGAGTGTGAGGAGTCCAAGATGACACCTCGGTTTCAAGTCTGAGTGACTGACGGGACAGTGGTAGGCTCAACAACAAAAGTGACGTTAGGAAGAGGGAACGTTTAAGGAAAAGCTAATGAATCCAGTTTTGGGCTTGTGGAACTTAAGTGATCTACTGGACATCCAGTTGGAGATATCCATTCGGTGGTTGGAGATAAAGAGACTATGGGTCAGCAGAGACAGCAGGGCTTCATAAGTAGATTTTGAGAATCATCAGCATAGTGGCAATAACCAAGGGCAGCCGATGTCACCAAGTCAATTAGTATAAAGGGAGAACTACAACAGAATCTTGTGCAACACCTACCTTTCGCAGGCATGACCTCAATAAAGATCCAGCAAAGGAGACAAAACAGAGCTATCTCATATGGAAGAGGAGAATCAGGAGAGTAGTGTCATGAAAACTTAAGAGAGAAGAGGGTGAGCCTGCAGTATCAAAGACTGCAAAGAGGCCAGAGAGGACGAAGATAGAGAGGGAGAAGAACTTAGATTTGACAATTAAGAAATCATTGGTAACTTTTGGAGAGAGCATTTTGGGTTGATTGAGGTTGGAAGCCAGATTGGAAAGCATTAAGAAGAGAGAAGAAAGGAAGCAGAGGTACATAGCTGTTGTACAGAGGATTTTGGAAGGAATGTAGTGTCGAAGAGGAGAAAAGATAAGAATCAAAGGCTAGCAGAGAGGGATCAGTCAAGTGAAGGTTTTTTGAGAATGGAGTAGACATAGGCAAGTTTGTAAGGCATCAGGCAAATGGCCCTGTCTACAGGAGGAGATTGAAAATAAGTGAGGGTGGAGATGACAAAGGGGGCCATGTGCTGGAGAAGATGGGATGGAATGGGGTCATTTATGCATGGGTTTACCTTGGGAAGGAGAAGGGCTGCCTCATTTTGTGAGATAAGTGAAATAGTGGCAGAAAGCCTCTGGATGATGGGAAAAGTAGCCTGACCCAAGAATCTTGTGATTTCTAGGTCTGTCACTGACTTGCATTTACTCTTGCTGAGATAACTTCCCTAAGAAGTAACTGGGTGGGGTTAATGCTTTCAAGTCCAGTGAGGTGTAAACTGTTGTGCCAATCTGTATAAATACTAGCTATCATTATTTTTATTAATTCCTATGTTTTTATTTTACTCTCAATTCCTTCCACTCCCAAGTTTTCCTTGCTCCATTAATCATGGCCTCCTTCTCTTTTATATCTCTTTTGCCTTTCCTTCTTTTAATTAGACCTTGCCTTCATACTATAGAATTACTTCCCCTTGCCAAAAAGATTTTCCTTGCCTGTTCTTTGCTCTCAAATTATCATCTTGTATCCTTCTCCTCTCCTTTACTGCTAGACTTCAAGTAATAATACTCTACACCAAAGGTTCCCAAACTTATTTGTCCCCTTTTCAAAAAAAAATTTACTGAGCACACCTCTGGAAATCTACTTTTTTAACCTTTAATGATTTTTTTTCAAAACTTTGCATCATTTAAAAATTGTTTTAAGACATCTTAAATTTAATAATTTATTGTAAATTTGTGGGGGGTTTTCCCTGCATTGAAATTTTAGTGATGCAATATTGCATCATGTAACCACATAGTATCATATTATAAAGTCATTACACGCATATATTTTTGCTAATGCATGCTGGACTTCTTGATGCTACGAGCAACACTTGCCTGCCAACACTTGCTTGTTAAGACCTATCAGCGGACTTGACCACTGTTGCGTTATAACTTGCATTTTGTGTGTTTATTTGGAAAATAATGTAATCACTACAACTTTAACTCTGTTACACAACAGATGAAACATGTACAAATGGTTTTTCAAAATTTCTTCTCTTCTTTCCTTATGCTCCCACACCCTTATTTTTATTCAGTGCCCCCTAATTGCACTGAAGGCTACTGCAGCACCCCACCATATCATACCAGCGCCCTCCAGGAGGCAGTGTCCCCCACTTTGGGATCCTGTACTCTACACTTACTGCCCCTACTTCCTTAACATCCTTGATGTCTGGCTTTCCACCTCATCAGCACCAAAAGATTTTTCCCAGTAAACTCATCCAAAGGTCTTTTTTTTACTAACCTCATCTTCCTTATCCTCTCCACACAGTGCTTGTATCATACTGCATTTTCACACTTCTTCTACCTCTCTGACGCAAGTACTCCCTGAAGATTTTGTCTTGGACACTTCTTCTTTTCTCTCTTTACATTGTCTCGTTTGGTAATCTGTTTTGGTAACTTTTTCCCAGATACCACTCCCATCTTTCCAACTTACTGCTGGACAGTTCTACCTTGGTGTGCCACAGATCCATTGTATCCAAAACAGTTTATCATCTTCTCAAGACTGTGTCTCATCTTCTCAACTTCTCCATTTCCCACCATCCCCCCGGTGTCCCAAACTTATAACCTTGGAGTCATCTATTATTATTAATTCCTTCTCTCTTCCATATGTCCCTCCCCTCTTCTCAGTTTCATAGCCCCATTATTATGTTTTGAATCCATTGTGGCACTTCATTCCCACTACAGCCATACTTGCTTAAGCCCTCGTCTCTTTTCACCTAAAATATTAGATTCTTAGCTAGACCGATTAGTCTCCCCTCCAATATATTCCTTCTCCCATCCATCCTCTGCTGAAATGATGCCTGAATGTTCTTCCAAAACATCTCTAGGGTCATGTCATTTTGCTATGCAAAAACCTTCTAGACTTTTTGTTGTTTACTGAATAAAGTGCAAACTCCTGACTGGACTCCAAGGCCCACCGTGATCTGTCTCCAGCTTACGTCTCCAATATATTCTCAGACTATTCTTTGTTACATACTGTACATTCTGGCCTTATTCCGTATCTCTATCTGGCCTATCCCTTCCCTGTGACTTTGCTCACTTTTCCCCAAGTCTAGAATGGACCTTCCTCTCTGGCCCCTATCTTCATCTGCTCAGGACAAACCCAGACGCCATCTCTTCCAGGGAACTTTCCCTCACACTCTCCCTTTCCTACCTTCCTTTTGCCTGGAACGTGAGCTCTTCCTCCTCACATTCCTAAAACATTTTCCACACATCTCTCCTTTGCGCTTTTCTTAACCTCCCTCATATTATAGTTATTTACATATTTGATCTCTTCCTATCATCATTAATTTGTATGTTCCTTGAGAGCAGGACCCATGTTCTATCTATCTTTGCATCCCTAGCACACTGCCTTATGCACAGTAGAGTCTTAATCAATGTTTGTTGAGTTGTTGAATTGAATTAATGAAATCCCCCACAAAGTCATTTAAACCTTTTATTTTTGTGTGTTTGTGTGTATTTTCGTCTGTGAGCAGGACTCTCTGATCAGTTCCTGGCCTGGTTTTCCTGGATGGAACAAGAGGAAGAACTGGGTGTGTCTGAACTCCAGGACTCAGGGGACAGGGGGATGGGCTCAGATATCGAGGACTCGGAGAGGGGGATGGGTTCAGACCTGCAGTACATGGATGAGAGAGAGGACGACTCGGAGGAGAGGGAGGTGGGCTCGGACCTGCTGGACGAGAAATTCAGAGAGGAGAACTCAGAGGAGAGGGAGATGGTGACAGACATCTATACAGGTGAGGAGTGCATTATATGTAAAGCTGGAATTTCCGTTGAAGCTGCCCTGAGTATGTTCAGTTCTAACTCCTCTAGTATTGTAACCAGCAGTTGCATTAGGTGTTGAATGAGGCCTCTGGGGGAGACTGAGGCAATATGGGCTACAGTACCACCAACATGCTGTGGAGACCCAGCTTGGCATCTCCTTCCGTAACACCTGGATTCTGCAGTTTCCTAGCCCTTTCCAGTGTCGGGCCGAGAATGGATCCTTATCCTCAATCCAGACCTGATTGAGGTGATGCTGGTAGGTATGGGGGAAGAGCTTTGAGTGGAAGGAAGCTGTGACTGCTTCCTAGATGGAAGGGGGTACGCTTTGCCTTAGTCTTCATAAGTTTGTGTCTTTGAATACTGGCTGGCTTTGTTACCCCTCCTGGATTCCCAGGGTATGGAAGTAACCAACATATCTCATGGCTGGGATATTAAGATTATGTTCTTTCCTCTAACCCACCCCCAGCCTCTTCTTCCAACCCCTACAATGCAGAGAGGCATGCAGCTTTTCCTAACTGAGCAGCCTTGGCCTTAATTCTTGTAATACCTTCTGCTTGGGAATAAGAAGCAAGAAGCTGGATGAAATCTGGCCTGCACCTCTAACGTGGGCCTTTAGCTTTGCTCTTTGTGTTCACTTTCTAGCTCTGTTCTTCCCCCATGGATGTAGCATTTTGCAAAATATGCTTCACAGTCATGTTTGGTTTTGTAATGATGAGGTCAGTTATGGGAAGGAGACAGTTGCCTAGGGTAAAGTTGCTCAGCCCCATGATTATGCTTACCAGTAAGCTTATTTCTCTCTCTCCACCTCTCCCTTCCCCCATCTTTGGGGGTGAAGAATTGGAGGCACAGGAGCGTGAAGTGACTTCCCCAAAAGTCACCCAGCGTGTGAAGGCCAAAGACTTGGGCTTAGATTTTTTTGGCTTTTCAATTCCCTGATTCTTTGCTTGGTTCATTGAGACATTACATAGAAGGACTAATTGTATTTTGCAAAGTGCTTGGTACTTCCCATGGCTTATTCGTCTGTTATGGTTGAGTGGGATAGTTGTATTTTCTGATCCTCAGTGTTGGGACTACCTTGGAAAGGTGTGGAGAGGCTTTTTGAATGGCCAGCTTCTTCCTCTGCCTGGAACTCCCTCTCTACAGCTGCTCCAAGAGCCCAAAAGAGGAAAAATATAAGTTGAGTGTCCTTTAGTTCCCAGGGAGAGTGCGGGGACTCTAGGGTGGGTGGGGCATAGCAGTTATGCAGCATGACATCACCTTGATTGAGTGGGATGGAGGACCTTTCCTTGGGTCTCATTAACAAATGACGCCAGTCTTGTCTTCCCCCAGGACCTTCTTCTAAAGGATTTGATGGGAGGTTGATGTTGAGAATAGTACTCTGGAGGCAGGGTTGAGATGGGATATCATGCACATTTTTTGAAGACGAGTGTTTGACTTTGTTTAGTTTTACCAAAAATTCCCCTAAACTCAAAAGAAAAATAAATCCTACCTGCATTCTTTTTTTCCCTAACAGATGACAGGCTGCTCAGTGAGGGAGAAGAGACAGCTCTCCGTGAGGAAAATGAAGATGATGTGGAAGATCCTGAGGTGGTTGAGATGGGGATGTTCTCAGGACTCTCTGAGTCAGAGAGCATAACCCAGAGTCCCAGGGAAGAGGAGGAGAGTGCTGGAGAGAGCCGACTGGAGGAGGAAGAAGAGACCCCAACCCTACCCTGGAGGAGACGCCTCTCCATAGGGAAGTACCACCGGGAGGGCAGCTCTGGTCAGCACCGTTTCCATCCTCTCCATCACCCAATGGCTGTAGACTTTGGGGAGCTCAACAGTTTGATGGCTAGCATCATGGAAGCCCCCACCATCTGTTCAGATTGTGGTGAAAGCTTCAGCCCAGGCACAGCCTTCATTCAGCACCAGCGCATGCATCGCCTGGCCCAAGCGGCTGGGGTGGCTGGTGTCCAGCCTTATGGCTTTGCTTCAGAATGTGCAGGAGTAGTGGGTATGGTGGGTTTGGGAGGTACAGGAACCTTGGGCTCTGTATTGCCCCGGACCCCAGGAGAGAAGCCATACCGATGTGGAGAATGTGGTAAAGGATTCAGCCGCAATACATACCTAACAAACCACCTCCGCCTGCATACAGGTGAACGCCCCAACCTTTGTTCTGACTGTGGCAAGAGCTTCAGCTGGCGTGCAGACCTGCTCAAACACCGACGTTTGCACACAGGGGAGAAACCTTACTCGTGCCCCGACTGTGGGGAGGCCTTCAGTCTCAGCTCCCACCTTCTGAGCCATCGGCGGGCCCACGCTGCAGCCAGCGGAGCTGGGGCAGCGGTGTTGCGACCCTTTGCTTGTGGGGAGTGTGGAAAGGGTTTCATGCGGCGTTCTCATCTGGCCAACCACCAGCGTATCCACACTGGGGAGAAGCCACATGGATGCGATGAGTGTGGCAAGCGCTTTAGCTGGCGTTCAGACCTGGTGAAACACCAGCGCGTGCACACCGGAGAGAAACCCTACATGTGCTCTGAGTGTGGGGAGACGTTCAGTGTCAGTTCCCACCTCTTCACCCACAAGCGCACTCACTCAGGTGAGCGCCCCTACGTGTGCAGTGAGTGTGGCAAGGGATTTGGGAGGAACTCACACCTGGTGAACCACCTCCGAGTACACACTGGGGAGAAACCGTTTGGTTGTGCAGAATGTGAGAAACGCTTCAGTGACTTCTCTACCCTCACCCAGCATCAGCGCACCCACACTGGGGAAAAGCCCTATGCCTGCGTTGAGTGCGGCAAAAGCTTCATCCAAAGCTCCCACCTCATCCGCCACCGCCGCATCCACACTGGAGACAAGCCGCACAAGTGTGCCAGCTGTGGGAAAGGCTTTCGCTACAAAACCCACCTGGCCCAGCACCAAAAGCTGCACCTCTGCTAGGACCAGCAGGGAGTGGTGTGGGTGGGGTTTGGAGGGGGGGTGTAGTTAACCATTTTGGGAGTAAACGTGGGAAGGGCACATATTCTCCTCCAAAACAGGGAGTCCCTGAAAATTGGAAATCCTCTGAGTAGGCTTTTGGAGTAAAGTTGAGGGATAAGGCGGAACCCAAGAGCATCTCTTGGGGACATTCAGGGATGAAGGGTTGAGTAGGGGTTTTTTTCTAGTAGTGTTCTAAAAAATTCCAGGAGTTTTGTAATTGCCTCTTTGCTCCCTCTCATGAGAAAAGGCAGTTGGAGTGAACCACCCAGTCCTTTACTGAATACAGCCTTTCCAAGTGGTTGTTTTAGGATCACCAAGAAAGGGGTTGGGGGTGAGGAGAGGCAAGAGAGAAATATAGTATTGAGAGGGAAGGAGTGAAAATAGGATAACAGCAGATAGGGTCTTAAATCAGGGAAGTGTGTGGCCCGTACCATGGTGAAGAGAGGGAGAGATAAAAACTACAGGAAGGGAAATAGAGGCAAGGACTTGTTTCCTGGTTTAGGATCCTCCTGTTATAGGTGCTCTAATTAGTGGTCCATCTCCATCCCCTCACGACCCCCTACAACCACCTACAAATACTTCCCCTTCAAATTTGTCTCTTAAGCCAAGGAAAGGAAAGTGTCCCATTGGGACTGTGGAAGGGAAAATTTCATTTTCTCCACCCATCCCTTTTTCCTCTGGGCCATATTTAGCTGCTATTTTGAGGCTTCGAGGGAAGCTAGGGTGGAAAGTAGCACATTTGAAGGGAGAAGTGTCTGTAGAGAGGAAGCCTCTTTATTACTTGCCTTCTGCTTTGCTTCCAGTTTTCTGCTATCCTCACCCAGTCCTCATGGAAGCCATCTCCTCTACCCCATGTACCAAATATTCCCATCCTCTGTCCTGGAGTTTGAGTGCTAGGTCCATGATTTATATTATATTAGACCACACACGTGTGACTTTAAAAAGAAGGGAAAACAGCACTAGTCTGGAATTGTGGGGTGGTTCTCCCAGTATGGTGTACTGCTTGCTTCCTCATGTAAACATCAGATAGTCTTTGCAGTGGAAACCCAAATGGCTTTTTCCACTAATTTTGCTGACCCCGTCTGAGGATTTCAGGGAAGTAAATACATCGAGTCCATTGTCCTTCGGTTCCTGTCTCATTTTGCTTCTCGCTTCCTACCTTCTTCATTGAAGGTGAAGGAGAAACACTGGGCTTCAACCTCTCCCCAATCCAGCTTTCCTCCATGGTTAATTCACAGAAGAAATTGGAGGCTGTTCTCTAAAAGAAAATCTTATTCATGGTATCCACAGTAGGCAGTGGTTGGGGAAAGTATAAATGCAAACACTTACCTAGCACCAGCAAAGACTGCATCCTGTAGGTGCTGATAAGAATGCCAAATAGCACTTTTGTACTAAGAAAGGTGCGTTATCATTTTTATTATAGCCACTCATCACATTGCTGGTGAGATCCTTCAGTATTATGGCCTCTATCTTAAAGAAGACCATTGAAAACTGGTCTAAAGAGAGGCTTGAGAGTGTCAGATAGGTCTATTCTGGCCTCTTTGCTCTGTGTTTTGACTAGTGGGGCAATTAATTGTTGCCTAAAGGGCTGTTTCTAAATTCCTACTTGTTGGGAAAAATTAGGGCTACTCTAGAAAGGAGCGGGGAAGGTATGCCTTCTTTTGTAACACTGGCCTTTGTTAGCCATGTGTTAACACTAAAGGATTGTGGATCAAGGGTCCACCTTGAATGCTAGAGTCCACCAATTCTCCCTTCTCTTCCCCAGAAAAGCCTTTAGAATAGGAACAAGAAATAAAATGCGGCTTCTGAGCTAATACCCTGTATCTCCCATGGACCTACTTCACAGACAGACTCTGATTGGGAATTCCAGCCTGGGGGAAGGAATCTCCAAAATTGTCATTTCGGCTCTTTACAATGGATTTCCTATGAATTAATATGGTCAGGAGCAGCTAGGTGGCAGCGCAGTGGATAGAGCATTGGCCCTAGAGTGAGGAGGACCTGAGTTCAAATCCAAGTTCAGAGGCTTACTAGCTAGCTGTGTGACCCTGGGCAAGTCACTTAAGTCCCATTGCCTCCACAATTAAAAGAAAAAGAAAAGAAAAAGAGCATTAATATGGACAGTTCTATCCTGGGAGAACTTTGGGGCAACTATAGGAAAAAGGCATGTTTACACTGCTACAAACAAAAAAGATCAACTTAAAAGGCATTTCATTTTTAATTGAATTCTATTGAGAATTCTGGTCTGTTACACATGCCCTGGTGACTTTGTACCACTTAGGTCTCACAGATACAAATGAACATTTGAATTGTGAGTGTAGTTTTAGAATGCATTTTTCTCAAAAAACAAAACAAAGCTAGGGATAAAAAAGCAAAACATGTCCAATGATTATCTTGACTTAACGGTCTAATTTATAGCTTTAAGGGGGAAAAAAAAAACTTCATTTCTGGATACCTGTTGGTTACATTGCTTATTACTATTTAGTAACAGGCCTTCTTGATCATGGGCCATTTCTCCAGTTTAGGAATCAAAACATCCTTATGCTTCTCTTTCTAGCATTAATATCTCTGTTTGAAAGGAGGTGGTCAAAAGATCAACTCCTATCTCCTTCTCTGGGAATTTTTTTGGGGGGGGAGGGGGGAAGGTAGGGAAGAGGGAATAGAGATATTGGAAATTTATCATTGAAATAAGTTAGGGGGGAGGTTGCTTTCTCATTTACCTATACTTGTCTCATTCCCATAGAATGCTGTTTCACCCCACTTTAAATAAACAAAACATTATAACCAAAAGGGGTAGGGTGGGGTTGGGGTGGGGCAGGGACAAAGGTGTAATAACTTCTTCCCTCCTGATTGATTCTATCATGCAATCGATGGAACCTTTCAGGAACTCATCTGTATAGAGTATGCCTACACTCAGTCCTCCCAAAGTTTTCAGTTTTATGTCTCTAGCTTTCTTCTAGAATATTCTTGAGCATATACCCTCTTTGTGGCACCCTTGAATGTGTTAAGCAATATGAAAATAATTATCAATCCATTTGTCACCACAGGGTCACATTTTTTTTTTTAAATCTGGATTCCTTAGTTTGCTCAAGTAGTTTTGACTGAGATTAAGTGTTTTTTTTTTTTTTAAATTTGTGCATGGATTTGGAAACAAACAAGATGAGAATTTGTACCAGTACTCTAAGCCCGCCAGGAGCTGTTGCATAGCCCCTCTGTGGGATCTCCAGCTTCATCAGAGGCTATGCATGTGTCATTTAAATTAAGAATTTCTTTTTTAGACAATCTGAACTGTCATTTTTGAACTTGTGCACATTTGAATGCAGTGTAATTTGTGAAAATGATAATTTAAAGAGATTCAGGGTAACAAAATTTTGTGTTTTGGATGGGGGGGTGGGCATGGAATTTCCTCACTGTTTTCAGGTTGTTTTTATTTAATAATGGTTTTCTGGACAATGCTCTGGTATTTGGCTACCAGTACAATGTATTTGTCATTAAATTGGTAAGATGTTGACCATGTGACTCTCCAGCTGCAGTATTTGTCATTAATAGTGCCTATTTGGATCAATCCAGATAAACCTGTTCTAAGATGCTCAAGAGGACACCATTACTAACAAGTAGCCAGTGCTTTGGAGGATTCCAAAAACATGTCATTCAGTGTCTCACTCTTGTCGCAAACAAATGTGGAAGAGAGGATAAATGCTAACTGAGTTCGTTCAGGTCAACAAATCCATGCATTCACTGAGCCCCATACTCTATATGAGGCACTCCACAGTATCCAGGTGCAGCAAAGATGTCCTTTAAACTCTTATAGAAGGCGTGTTGAATATTGAATGACTGATGTTCATTTTTTAAAGATCTCTTGTCTTTTACTGTAAGAATTGATTAGGGTGAAAATGATCCCAGGAAAAGGAGTCCACATTGTGCATGCCTTCCTTAGCCATGACCTACGATCCACGAACTTCCTTTTTCTGAATTATTTTCTCTTCTTTAGGCTTACAAAAAAAAAAGTAACTACAGCCATAGTTTTCTGATATTAGAAAAATCTCATAATCTAGAGAGAATGATTTATTATTCAAGCTAATAGTGTGAGGTTAGGCCTCTCCAAAATGAGCCAGTCCTCTATGTCAGATGAGATGAACTAGGTATTTGAGAAGTTAGGAAGGGACATTTTCCTACCAACCTCAAGAAAACTCATGAAAAGTTTTGGGGTTGGGGATGTAGAGAGAGTGAGGAGTGGTGGAGCCAAGGAAGAATGATATGCTCTGTCTCCCTTTATTGGTAAACATTTTAATGCTCGACATGAGATCCCAACGAAACTAGCCAATGTTGGTCAATTCTAGATCCAGGTTGAATCCTCCTTTGTGACAGAAAAAAGCAATTCAATACTCTCCCTGTAGTCTGATGATCTGTAAAGGCTCTGGCCTTAGTCTCCCTTCTCCCCCCTGTGGGATAGGAGGTTTTGCTTACCTCTTTGGGAACTTTAATATATGAGTGAATCTTTATTTACATTGTTATGGTTATTGCGTATATTCTTTCAGTTCAGCTTTGCTCAGCATCATTTCATATAAACCTCGTGTTTCTCATTTCTTAATTGGTCATTTTATATTGTACAACAATATTGTATTTATATGCTATAGGTTTGTTAGCTATTCCTCAGTTGAATGACACCCACTTCCTTTCCAATTCTTTGCTATAACAAAGAGTGCTACTATGAATATTTTGGTATATGTTGGACTTGTGTTTCCATAGTTGACTCCCATAGGGTATATGCCCAATAGTGAGATAACTGAGTCCAACTATTTGGACATTGAAAATATTTTAAAAACTTTTTATTGATGCCTTTTTACAAAAATGCCACCAAAGTTTCCCCTCATCTTCCTCTTCCACCCCTTTCCCAGAGAACCATCCCATATAATAATCTTTTAAAAGACAAAAAAAAAAAAAATCAACAAAATGATCTAAAACATTGAGGAAATGGAAAAATATGTACCATATGCCACACTAGTGGACCTCCCACCTCTACAAAGAAGAAGAGTAGAAATGTCTTCTTAGATCTCTTTAGATCTCTGCTTCTTCTCTGCAAATTTTTTTAAGCAGTCACTTTTAGCCATTTTACCCATTTACATTAGAATAGCCATTGTGTATTTATTTCCTGGTTCTTTATTCTGCATCAGTAATCTCTGCTTCTCTGTGTATTGTTTCTTACAGCCCAGTAATAATTCATTACATTCATGTACCACAACTTGTTTAGCCATTCCCCAATCAATGATCACCTACTTTAGTATCACAAAGAACAGCAGTTTTTAACCTGTGTCTTGACAAACCCAGCATTTGTTAGCATCACGTGGACTTAAGAATTCTAGAGAAAGGTGAAAATTGCTGTGGTTTGGGATATTTTCATTTTTCTATAGCCTAATTTTATTTTAGGCTGACAGGATTTTCAGACTGAGTCTATGCCAGTTTCTGTGTCATGGTTACAAGGACACTGGAAGATGTTTGATGAGTGCTCCTTGGGAGAAGAACCATGCACTGGACCCTCAGGGATTACAGTCATTTAGTCAGTAGTGTCTGCCCTGAGGAGGCCATTATCTAACATTCATGCTCCTAGACTGATAGTGGCCTGCAGACATCAATTGTTGACCAACCACTGCTATCACAAGTTTTTTTAACCTAAATTTTGTTTTCAGTGGCTTCAGTAACACCTTGGATACCTGTAATTTGATCAACTTGATTCCACCAAAGCAGATTACAACCTCTATGACTCTTGGTAGGTGGTTTTGAGGAGTGGCTGAGGCCTCAAGTTTCATCACTCTGAGACTAGCCTATTTGATGTTGAGTCTCTGACCATAGCTAAGTTGGTCCTCGGGTGACATAAGTTGTCATTCTACACCTCACAGCTGACATTGCCTTGGTGCCTGCTGCCATGAGATAAGTGACTACCTAAAGAAGCTTGGGCCAACCTGATTGGCTTTCCCCCCTTCCAGAACACAAACTGTCCATGAATGGAATGTTCTCAAGGGGTGCTAGGTACTTTTATCATTGGGGATCTTCAGGCAGGTTGAGTAATTACTTATAGGTTGTGTGGTGTCTTTCTGAAGATAGTTTAAAGCAAAAGGCCTCTGAGGTCTCTTCCAACTTTAAATACTTTGTGGAGAGAGTGCCCTTGACAGAATGTTGAATAATGTTCCAAGCTGCAGAGTTTTGAGTGGAAAAGGCCATTGGATTTAGCAGTGAATAGATGGTTGGCAAACTTGGATTTGAACAGTTTGACAGTTAGTGGGATTGGAAGGCAGCCTGCAAAGAATTGAGAAAGAGAGTAGGAGATGAGAAATGTCAGTGATGACATTTCCTTTTCTAGGAGTTTGATTGTGAAAGGTAGATGAGATGGAGGATAATAGCTTGACCAGATTGTAAAGGGATAGTAGTCCAGAAGAAAAGCTATGAGTGGATGGACTGGGTGTTGCACAAGATGAAGAATGTGTTTAAGAGTAGAAAGGCAGGGTCCTATAGGGAAGGCAGAAGGACCTGGGCCTCTAGGGCAGCAGCAGGAGGGAGAGAGTCCACGGGTGAAGAGGGCTTGCCTAGACTCCCCTTTTGGAGGCTACATTCTCTCCCCTTCTGTCTTTACTGCCCTGTTTCCATTAGCCCTAAATAGACTGAGCAGAGCCATACCCCAGGACCACAGGAGGTCTTTGGACAGAAAGGGAGGCTCCCACCTGGCATCTGTCATTTGTAGAATGAGAGCATTTTCTAGTGAGAGGACCAGAGGAGGACGCCCAAACCGCTGGGCCAGAGGCAAGGCAGTCACTTCCACTATAAACTCAGAATTAACTGTGATGGTACATGACGATACAGGACAATGCTAGACACTGACCTGTCTCCTGACGTCCTTGCTTGTTTGCTTCAAAGTATGTAGTACTGGACTGTCCCTCACTACCCCTTAACACTGATGTGACTGTTGGCATCCAGGAGATGTATGCTGGGTGCAACCTAGGCTGACCTTGACTGATCCCCAATG